CGCCTCCGGGTGCCCAAGACTCCCTCCCCCGCCACCACCGTGGTATGGTTCACCCTGACCAATCGGAACGGTCCTAGCACTCTAGCACCGCCTCTATCGGTTGAACCATTTCCTTGTGGGGAGCTCAGAGGGGTGGGGCGGCGCCACGCACGTGAGGTGAGGGGGCGGGGCCGGCCTCCCAGCTGCGCACGTTGGGGTCTTCTGGATGGGTCTGTCTTAGGCTGGTGGGCTGCTTGGGCTCAATGCTCGGTAAAGCAGGCGAGCCCAGAAGGTGGACCATTCTGGGACTCGTAATTGTTGGGGCCTACCTTTACTAGCACAGATGTAGAGAGAAGATAGAGAAACTTGGGACAGCTTTTCAGAGGCCTGACCAGAGCTGAACAGTTTTAAGAGAGAAGAGCATTTCAGCAAACTGGACCCATTGCAAGAGCAACAGTGCAGAGACTGGGACCCCCCCTCCCCCATACAGGGCTTTGAACTCAGGGCCTTCCCACTGAGCTACACCCCCAGCCCACCCTCCCCTCTTTTGATACAGGGTCTCCATAAATTGCTAAGTTGCCGGGGTTAGGCTTGAATTTATAATGCTCCTGCCTTAGCCTCCTAGAATGCTGGGATTATAAGCATGCACCACCATGCTAGGTTAGCATGGGTTCTTTGAGGGCCTATAATTCATTCTCTGTTCTGAAGGATGACATTTAAGAGAGCTTTGGCCGGGCATGGTGGCGCACGGCTGTAATCCCAGCACTCAGGAGGCTGAGGCAGGAGGATCTCCGCGAGTTCGAGGCCAGCTTGAACTACATAGTGAGACCCTGTCAAAAGACAAAAAAAACCCAAATTTTGTAAACCAGTGGAGGGTTATCTGCAGGAGAGCAATGGGATTAGATTTTGCCTCAGAGGGGAGACAGAGGAGGGTACAAGATGAGAGTTGGGGAGATCATGACTATCTATGGTACAGCTAAGAGGGAAGATCTGTGTCAGTGAGATGGTGTGGTCTCATCCCAGCTTATGGATCTCTCTAGGGATCCTACAAAAAAGATGGTAATTAAAACCTTTAAAGTGGATAAAATCTCATAGAGAGGGCTAATTGAATAAGGTAAAGAGGTAAAAGAGCTGTAGAAAACACCAATTAAGGGATAGGCAGGGAGGGGGGGAAGAGAGGGTCTGTCACTAAGCAAAGGAAAGAAGCATCACAGTGTGGTGAATTTGTTTGTTTGTTTGTTTGTTTTACAGTGTGGTGATTAAGAAACTCTGGAGTTGGACTGAGGTCAAAGCCTTGGCTTTTTGCCACCTACTACTTGTATGATCTTGGACAAATTACTTAAACTTTCTATGACTCAGTTTTCTTATCTGTAAAGTGGAATAAATAAAAGTACCTACTTCATAGAACCATACCCTCATTGTCATGAAGATTAAATGAGCTAATAGTTTTGAAGCAATTAGTGCCTGGCACATGGTGAACATTATGTTTAGTTATATAAATAAAACAACTGGAAGAGGAAAGCCTCACACCACAGGAATGATGGAATAGTCAACACAGTCAAATATAATTGAGAGGTTCAATAAGATGATAAGAAATTGTCATTAGATTTCTCAGTAGGGGTGTGGGGCTATGACAATGCTACATCCACAAATTTATTTCCTTTTGCTGCTTTTGGACAGCCAGAATACATTCCACAGACTATTATGTAGATGGGACCACGTGATTGTATTCTAGGCAATGAAATATAGGCAGAGATCATGTATGCCATTTCCAGGTCAGGCCCCTAAAACCTGTGAAATTCTTCACATTCTCTTTCCTTGTCTTCTTTTTTTTTTTTTGGTACTGGGGATCAAATTCGGGTCCTTGCGCTTGCAAGGCAGGTGGCAGAACCACTGAGCTAAATCCTCGGCCCTCCTTGTCTGTTTCTGTAGTTACAGAGGATCTAGTAGAAAATTCTTAGGGAACAATAGAGCCACTAGCTGGGTGGAGCCTAGGTCCTTGAATGCTACAAGGCACAAAGTCTCCTCTATCCCAAACACACATGCAATGGATTGTGATACTAAACCACTGATGGTTTGCTGGTTATTTGCCATTGAGCTTTGGGGAATACAGTAACTAAAATTATTTACCCTAATTAATATAGGACAAAAAGACACATTTCAATATACTGTCAGCTAAAAGTAGAGGCTACAAAGATGAAATTTTTAAAAATTTTTTTAAGAAACTTGGTGTGGGGCTGGGGATTTAGCTCAGTGGTTCTGTTGCCTGCCTCGAAAGTGCAAGGACCTGAGTTCAATCCCCGGTACCAAAAAAAAAAAAAAAAGAAAAAAAGAAACTTGGTGAAATGGAACAAAATTCTGAAACTATCTGGGCCAATCTGGGCTTTTAGAAAGCTCCTCCAGTGCACACTTTTCTTTCTTTCTTTCTTTTTTTGACAGAGTTTTGCTCTGTAATTCAGGCTGGCCTTGAACCCACTATGTAACCCAGGTTGGCTTCAAACTTGTGGCAATCCTCCTGGCTCAACCTCCTGAGTGCTGGGATTGCAGGTGTGTGCCACCATGTCTGGCCTAGTGAACGCTATTTAAAGGGGAAAAAAAAGGTGGTGTATGTCCCACACAGGGGACTAAGGGACTTGAAGTTCACAGTCATCTCCTCCAGATGTCATAGTTGAGATCACACTTCTGAGATCTGGGAGGGGGAGGGCTGGGTGGGCTTCATTTAGAACATTCTCTTTTGCCCCCAAAGGGTGATCTGGGAGACACAGGAGAGATATGGAGATGTTTCTGGAGGGGGTTGGCAGTAACTGGCATAATCTAGGATATCGAATTGAAACACCGTGTTCCTGAGAAAATGAAGCAGTCTTCAAAATCCAGACACTCAGACAAAGACATTTGAAAGAGTAGAAAAACAGGTCTCTTATCTCTGCCCTCACCCCATCTTGTACTATGAACAGCCAGAGGGACAGATAAAACTCATTTCTTAGTCCCTGCTTTCTATCCCCTAGCTAGTGGCCTCTTTGGATTCCAGTCTGAGGACTCTAGGGCAAAGATCAGGTAGATGATCAATGACTCGTTTTTTTGTTTTTGCAGCTTGGTTGCAGAATACCTGGCTTGGCCTGGCCTGCCTTGGGATAAGGGGCCTCCCTAACTCTAGTTTAGATCCTAGTTCACTAGGTTTCTGTCCTGAATCCCGCTAAAGTCTCAGACACATGTCACAGCACTAGAAATCTTCTTGGAGCTCTGCATTCAAATATCAGCTTGCCATTCATTCTCTGTGTAACCCTGGTAACTATGAAGTGGGGAAGAGGTATAGATCATATTTAGATGGCTCTTTAGAAGTGCCAGGGGAGGAATTAATTTGAACTGTATCCTGGTGTTAGCTAATTGGTCTCATTGAAAAAGAAACAAAAACATGGAGAAGAAAAGGGAACATGTAAAAGAAATACCTGTGATGCCTCCCAGCTGGTGGCTGGAGCTACTAACAGTCCTGTCCTCATATCTTTCATTTATTTGTCTCTCCTTTCCCCCTCTGTCCTTATTTTGTTTCTTTTTTTGTCTGTTTTGTTTTTTGGGGAATGTTTTGAGACAAGGTCTTGCTATGTAGTTCAGGCTGGCCCTTAACTCACTATAGAGCCCAGGTTGGCCTTGAACTCACGAGATCCTCCTGCCTCAGCCTCCCAAATTCTGGGATTACAGGCATGTGGCACCATGTCCAGCTTTGTTTTGTTCTTGAGACTGGTCTCACTATGTTGCCCAGGCTGGTCTTGAACTCTTTGGCCTCATGTGATCTTCCTGTCTCAGCTTTCTTAGTAGCTGGGACTACAGGCATACACACAACTGCGCCCAGGATATATATATATATAATATATATGGGGAGGGTTGAGACAGGGTCTCAATATGTAGTTCTAGCTGGCCTTGAACTACTACGTAGCCGAGGCTGGCCTCAGACTTGCTTCGATCCTCCTGTTTCAGTCTCCTGAGAGCTGTAATCACAGGTGTGTGCCACCATGCCCTGTAATTTTGCTATTTCTTTTCTTTTTTTTTTTTTTGGGTACCGGGGATTGAACTCAGGACAGTGTAGCCACTGAGCTAAATCCCCAGCCCAATTTTGGTATTTCTTTTTTCTTTTATTTTTTTGGTACTGGGGATTGAATTTGGGTCCTCGTGCTTGCAGGGCAGGCGGCGGAACCACTGAGCTACATCCCCGGCCCTGGTATTTCTTATAGCTTCTTATTTCTTCCACTTCTTGTGTTTCTGGTCTGTGTATGTGTGTTTTATGTGTTTTGTGTGTGTGTGTGTGTGTGTGTGTGTGTGTGTGTGTGTGTATGAGAGAGAGAGAGAGAGGAGAAAGAGGAAGAGAGAGAATGCATAAATGAATATGAGTACAATACGAGGGGCTGGGGATTTAGCTCAGTGGTTCTGCTGCCTGCTTTGCAAGTGGAAGGACCCGAGTTCGATCTCCGGTACCAAAAATAAATAAATGTGAGTACAATATGAGTCCATGGTTACTTAGGCCGTTTTTTCCAAACCTGTTTCTGCTAGTGGGGATGGGGTATAGTGAAGTTTCCACTCCTCAAGAAAGACCAGAGGGGTCAGTGTTCAGCTTTAGCAGATCAAGGCCCACCTATACCGCCACCTATGACTCTCCTCTACCATGGTCGCTGAGCAGGTGACTCAGGTGGTTGAGGGTCCTACAATATAGACTCGGAGAGAGCAGAGGCCAGGCAAGACTTATGTGCGTGGGGTCATCGGTGCTGTATGAAGAGCCTGAGCGCCCGACACATGGTACATGCTTAGTAACTATTTCCTGAATGAATAGCCACAAGAATAACTAAGTGCACCAAGAGTCCTGAAGCTGTACTCTGCGGTAAGCAGCTTTCGCAGAGGTTCTTTCAGGGGAGTGGCTCCAGCCTTAGGTGGAAGGGTATCATCAAAATCATCCCGCCAGCCGTACCGCCCGCCTGAGCCCCGCCCCCAGGCGGTCCCTCACTCAGGCTGTCACGTGCTGGCGGCTGGCCAATCACCGGGGCGGGCTGGGCAGACAGAAAGGAAAGCGTGTGTAGTGGCCCCGCAGACATTCCCCACTACCCCCGGGTGGCCTCATGTCGCGCGGTGGATCAGACCCTGAGCAGCGGCAGCGGGCATCAGAGGTGGATGCCACCTCAGCAACCTTCCGGGCTAGCGGTAATTGCTGGGTGGCTGAGGACTCACTGGAACGCGGCGCCGACCCCTCCTCTTCCTTAGAACATTCTGACCCCAACTTCAAGGTCAGCGCGTTCACCCCAAGCAGGACCTGCAGGGCGAGAGAGAAGCTGCACGCCCTCTGGCGTTGGGAAGGGCCAGTCTTGGGCCTTTAGCTCCTGAGCCGGACTGGCCCAACAGGGTGGTTCTGAGCTCGGGCCTGATAGTGGGGAAGAGCCAGGGGGAGAGACAGAGAGCTTTGCTGACTGATCTTAACTATCTGTCTCCAGAGCATCAACATATCCGCTACAACCCGCTGCAGGATGAGTGGGTGCTGGTGTCAGCTCACCGCATGAAGCGGCCTTGGCAAGGGCAAGTGGAGCCCCCGCTAATGAAGACGGTGCCACGCCATGATCCCCTCAACCCTCTGTGTCCTGGGGCCACACGAGCCAGTGGAGAGGTAAGCCTCTAGAGCCCACACCCACAGGGTGAGTGGGGGAAGCTCCCCCCTCAGAGCTACTCCACCCACAGGGCCAGTGGACAGACAGACCTCCGGGGTCATATCCTACCAAGCCCTGTCTTTCCCTGGAGCGGGCCTTCCCCATTCCTTTGCAGCCTGTGAAGCCCCTGAAGCCCACCAGATGGTGGTATGGGGCAGCGGATGCTTCTAGCCTATCCTTGTCTGTAGGTGAATCCCCACTATGATGGCACCTTTCTGTTTGACAATGACTTCCCAGCTCTGCAGCCTGATGCTCCGGATCCAGGTACCCTGACTTGAACCACTGTTGGGGAGAAGGGAGGCTAGACCTTTGGGGGACTACCTTTTGCACAGAGTAATATCCCTTTATCTCAGGACCCAGTGATCACCCCCTTTTCCGAGCAGAGGCCGCTCGAGGAGTTTGGTAACTATGGATTTCCCCTCTTCAACCAGGGTTGAAGACTAAACCCTTGGGTTGGGTTCTGCCCTTAGCACCCAACCTGTATCCCTCTGTCATCACTTCCCCCTCCCCACTTAGTAAAGTCATGTGCTTCCACCCTTGGTCGGATGTGACGCTGCCTCTCATGTCGGTCCCTGAGATCCGGGCTGTCATCGATTCATGGGCCTCAGTCACAGAGGAGTTGGGTGCCCAGTATGCTTGGGTACAGGTCTGTGAGGTGGTCTCCTTTCCTGAAAGGGCAGGGAGGGGAAAGGTACAGCTTTGATTTAGGGGAGTAGCATTCTTGTTTTCACTGGGTGTGGCTGGGAGGGTACTGACATGTCTTTTCAGCTATTTGAGCTCCTTATTTCTCCCCAATAGATCTTTGAAAATAAAGGAGCCATGATGGGCTGTTCTAACCCCCACCCCCACTGCCAGGTAAGTGTGCTAGGGGCTGCAGTGGCTTTCTTGGCTGGGTCCAATCAGCAGTGTGGGCAGGGGAACGGAGTTAAGAGATTAGACAAAGGCAAAAAAAAAAAAAAGAGATTAGACAAAGGCAATATACTAGTGACATGGAGGATTGGAGGTAAAAGACCTACATGCTCTTATCTTCTCCTGTCTTCTGATAGGTGTGGGCCAGCAGTTTCCTGCCAGATATTGCTCGGCGTGAGGAGCGGTCTCAGCAGTCCTATCACAAGCAGCATGGCGAACCCCTACTGATGGAGTACAGTCGCCAAGAACTACTCAGGAAGGTGGGAGAGAACAAGGCCCTGATCCCCAAGGAGTTCTTAGCCTTCTTACCCTGCAAGAGAGGTGTGTAAAAGAGGAGGGTAGAAGAGAAGTGGCAGAGAGACTGACTAGAAGACATTAACAATAAATGAACAAGGATGGTGGTTTAGAATAGGGTGAAGTGATGGAAGCGATGGGAATCCTTCAGATTCTTTTTTTTTTACTTCCCTTGCCTGTTTGACCCCCTTATAACTACTATGATGACTTCATTCCTGTTTTGGGTGCCTAGGATCGTCTGGTCCTAACCAGTGAGCACTGGTTAGTGCTGGTCCCGTTCTGGGCAGTGTGGCCCTTCCAGACCCTGCTGCTGCCCCGTCGACATGTACGGCAGCTGCCTGAGCTGACCCCCGCTGAACGTGATGGTGAGTCTCCCAGCTAGGACCTTGGGTCTGTGTACCAGATGAGATGGCTCTGGTAGAGCCAGCATCTGGTTCCCAGGCTGAGAGTCAGGCTCTCATTCCAGATCTAGCCTCCATCATGAAGAAGCTCTTGACCAAGTATGACAACCTATTCGAGACATCTTTTCCTTACTCTATGGGCTGGCATGGTGAGGCTTTTGTGTATCTTTTTCTAGCCCCAACACCATTTCTGGGCTCCAAGGTCCCAGCACAGGGGACCAAAACTCCTAGCAGGCCTTGAAACATTTGCTGGTGAAATGTCCAGAGCAGGGATGCTGCAAATGAGGAGGGTGTAGCAAACTTGGTGAAACTCACTGGAGTGCCTTCTGATGCCTGGGCTTTCTAGTGGAGGATGCTGGGAGATGTAGTTTTCAGGTGTGCGGCCTGATTTGGGGGTAGGGGGTGGACTGAAGAAAGGGCCCTCCCCACCTTCTTTGGCTTTTTCTTCCTGTCAGGTGCTCCCACAGGATCTGAGGCTGGGGCTAACTGGGACCACTGGCAGCTGCATGCTCATTACTACCCTCCACTTCTGCGCTCTGCTACTGTCCGGAAATTCATGGTTGGCTATGAAATGCTTGCCCAGGCCCAGAGGGACCTCACCCCTGAGCAGGTCAGGACTCAGAGAATCCTGGGTCCCCAGGTCCCCTTTTATTTCCTACTTCCTCAAGTGATCCTAATAGTAATGACCCTGAGAATCCTCATTAAAAATCTAGGCATTTCTAGGAACCAGGAGCTCCATGCTTTGGTGGCTCCAGGACTCCCCATCCCTCAAGCCCTCCCCCAGTATCTCCTGGTGCTCAGAACTTCTTCCACCATTCTCTGTGACTCTTACCTCCTTAATTGCCCTTTGTCTCCTTTCCAGGCTGCAGAGAAACTAAGGGCACTTCCTGAGGTACACTACTGCCTGGTGCAGAAGGACAGGGAGACAGCAGACATTGCCTGACCACAGGGCCTTGAATCCTTCTGCCAGAGGAGATCGAGACCTGGAGTTTGGGCAGATGTAACATCAATAAAATTAAATTAAAACTTTAATTACATATTCTGATACTAGAGGAGTATGAACTCAGAAACCTTCAGGGGCTAGGCATGTTGCACATGCCTATAATTCCAACACTTGTGAGGCCTGAGGCAGGAGGATTGAGGTGAGGTTTGGGCCAGCCTGGGCTACATAGTTTGAGGCCAGCCTGGGGTTCAAGATGAACCTGAAGCACATAGGGAGACCCTGTCTTAAAAAATAAAACAAAGCACAAGGTCCTGAGTTCGATCCCCAGTACTGGAAAAAAACCAAACCAAACCAAACCAAAACAAAACTACCACCAACAAAAAAAACTTCAGGGATCTAGGGTTAAAAACTAAGGGCAGCTGGGTGTAGTGGTGACTGCCTGAAATTTCAGCACTCTGGAAGGCTAAAGCCCTCTGGGAGGCTGAAGTTTGAGCCCAGCCTGGGAAATGTAGGGACTTAGTGAGACCCTGTCTCAAAATAAAAAATAAAAATAAAAATGGCTGGGGATGTGGCTCAATGTTAGGCTCTGAGTTCAATCCTTAATACCATGAAAGAAAGAAAAAAAAAAAAGCACAGCTCTAGTCACAATTTACTTACAAATGTGCAAAAAAAAAATTGTGTTCTTGGTTGTGGCTGAGGCTTTGGGAAGGCCAGAGCCCTCTCCAGCACGAAGCCCAGTGTCAGCTGATCAAGCCCAGCCCTGAGGATACTGGTCCCAGTGGTCAGTGGCTAGACCCTGGGCTTCTGGCCAGACCCTGCCTTTGTAAGTGGCTGCAGCTTGGCTCTGCTTCAGCCCACAGGGGCTGAAGGGGTGAGTAGGGCTCGTGTAGTTGGCTTTGTGTCCTTGGCTTCTCCACACTCCCACATGAATCCTCAGTATACCTCTATTGTTCCTGTACCCCAGTAAGGAAAGGAAATGAGCTGTAAGGCTTAGGAGTCCCAGGGTGGGCCTAGAAGAAGGTGTGGTTTTCAGCATCGGACCCTGGGTCTACTCCATCCCTCTGCAACAGTTGGGGAACAAAAGGCCATCAATCTGGTCGCCATTCTTTGGGAAAATCATACTAAGGTTGGATAGTAACTGGAGCTGGGTGAAGAACCTTGACTGCCTACCTTCCAGTCCACAGTCTTTCCTGACACCTTAGAGTTAAAGTGTCTGGGACTTCGGAGTGTTGTCCTCATATGGAAAGAGATCAAATACAGTATGTGTCTCTTTTGAGCCTCCCAGGGGGTGGGGAGTAGGTGAAAGTCCTTGGTGCGTGGCTAGTTTCTTAAGGCATACACACACACACACACTCCCCTGACCTTACACTTCTGCTTTGGCTGCATTTTGGAATCATCTGGGTAGTTTTAAACAATACTGAAGTCTAGGTCCAACCTCCAGAGATTCTGATTTAACTGGTATGAGGTGGGGCTTGGCAGTTCTACAACCACAATACCCTGCAAAGTTTGAGAACCATTGTTCTAAACAAGCCGTCCTTTCTTGGGTCAGGGGCACTTTCAACTTCTCCAGTCACCTGCCCACTGACTCCTGAGCCCTGAACTTGAGGTTTTGTTTGTGGACAGCTAGGAGGGGAAAAGGCCTGAGCACTTCCAGTCCTGTCGTCCCAGGGAAGATAGGCTTTCGGGCCAGGTCCCAGCAGTCCACCTTATTAAGATTCGGCCTTTCCCATCCTCTTCAGTCCCGACGGGACAGGAAGTGTCCGGCAGAGGTGGGGGTGGAAGTGATTGGCAGTTGGAGGCTCCAATGGGCCGGGAGGCCCCCCCGCCCCGTTTCACCGCTCTCCTTCCATTGGCGCCTCGGAGGAGCCATCCCCACAGCGGGGGCCCAGAGCGGGAGGGAGAAGCCCGGGTGAGGGTGAGGGCGGAGGGCGCTGGCGGCGGTTGCCGCCGAAGGTGAGGCCTGTTGGGGCAAGCGGTTGTAGACTTAGTCTCGCCAGGAGGGGGCGGGTCAGGGTGGTGTATGATCTAAAGCACCGGGAGTGACGGGTGTGACCGCTGGAATGTTAGGGTGTTTGTGTGTGACGATGCCAGAGTGTACGACCCTAAGGGTGATTGTCACTTGGTGCAACTGTCAGCTAATGTGACTGCATGTGACAGTGTGCTTGTACCCGAGTCTGCATGTGGAGATGCAAGGGAGAGATTATGTGTGTATCTTTCGATGTGTTGTTTTTAGTGAGATAGGCTATGTGTGTGTGTGTGTCTGTGTGTCTGTGAGAGACAGAGAGAGAAGGATTGTGACCACATCAGGGAATGTGTTTTGGAAAGGTCTCTGTGGGATTTACAGCTGTGTCTGTCAGGATGAGAGTGGGTGGCTGTGCCAATGTGTAACTTCAGTAGTAGCAGAGCGAGAGTGAGACTCCTGACTGTATGTGTGTCCTGTGTCCTAATGTAGACTATGTGGGAGTGTAGCTGTTTGTATATTGATAGCCAATGGCACTGACCTTTCTCCTTAGCCTGCACCATAGACAGTCCAGTTCCCAACACCCATGGCTTCCCCTTCTTTTGGCCAAGAGTTCAAGATGCCTGGAGGTGTAGCTCAGTGTGTGTGTGTGTAAGACCCCAGGAAGGAGAAGGTCTACTGCTCCTTATTTGCCGTTTCCCCCCGACTCAGTTTCCTTGTGTAGTACTTCTTTTTCTCTCCCTGTGACTGTCTTCCTGGGGATATTTCTCCCTGTGTCTCTTCACAGTTTTATCTCCCAAGTATCTGTGTGTATCTGTCTTGTCTTCTCTTCTCATGCTTTTCTTTCTTTTTTGAAACAGGGTCTTGCTATGTAGCCCAGGCTGGCCTTGAACTCTCTGCAATCTTGCTGCCTCAACCTTCTGAGTACAAGGATTACAGGCAGGTACCAGCACACCCAATTGTATCTGCTTTCTAGTGTCTGTATCTCTGTCCTATACCTGACTACCTGTTTACCGTTTGGCTACCTGGGATCCTGTGACAGTGATGAGATGCTGATCTACCATTGCAGATGAGGAGCCTTAAACCATAATGAGCATTTGCCTTTAGGGAGTGCTGTGACACTTGTCCCCTCAGGGATCATATTGTGTGTGTGTGTTTGAAACTGAGTGTACAGTTATGTATAAATATGTCTGAATCCAGGTGGGGATATCTGAGTGTTTTGGTGTAACTGTATCTGAAGAGTGTTAGTCTGAGGGTAAGTGTGGGTTTTGTGTACCTGGCACCAAGGGACCAAAGGCATTTCCTGGTACTGGGGCCCAAAGGGTGAAGGGGGAGGTAAATGGCTGGATCTTCCAGTGTGTGTGTGTGTGTGTGTGTGCGTGTGTGTGTGTGTGTGTGCGTGTGTGTGTGTGTGTGTGTGTGTAGGAACTAGACTCAGGCTTTTCCTCGTTTTCCCTAGCCTGGGGCTTCTCTTAACCCTAGAAACGGGCAGCTGGGCTCTAAGACAACATTTGCAAGGGAGTGAAAAAGGAGGCACACAAGTTTGTAACTGGTTTCTTGTATGACTGTGTCCGTGTGTGTTCAATGGATTGTCCTTTTGTTAACTGTACCTAGTGAGTCCCCGGATGAATGTGACTTCGCATGGCTATGTGAAAACATAGGGAATCTCTCACTGACAGGGACATTAGCATAAATAAACCTCTTCTCCCTCTTCCCGGCCCTGGCTCTATCTGTGGCTTTCTTTCTACCGTGCAGGGAGCCTCTTCCCTTCCCAGGGCCTCGGGTGGGAAAGGAGGAGGGAGAAAGAAGGAGGGGATGGGGAAGGAGGAGAAGGAAGGCCTAGAGGGCCTGGTTAAAGGTGGCTGAGCTCCAGGGCCCAGAGGGGGCGGAGCTAAGTAAGAAGGGGATGGTCCTAGGGTCCCAGAACTGAGTGGAGCAGAGGCTGGTGCTGTAGCTGGTGGAAGTCTTGGAGCCATGGACACTCAGCCACTGGGATTAACAAGGTAGGGTGGGGCTGAACAGGGTAATGTGGCTGGGGAGCCAGGGTGAGCCAGCAAAACCTAGATAGACCTGCAGACATGTGGAGATCCCTGCTCTGGTCTAGGTCCACTCTGGAGGGGTCTGTGCTCTTTCTCTCCTGGCACTCTCACCCAGGGCTCTTCCCATCTGCCCTCCTCCTGCACACCCCAAGCCAGAATCCTAGCTCCTACTCCACCCCCACTGTTAGTTCCTTCTCAGACTTTGAGCTCTTATTGCTCCCAGCCCAGCTTTCTCCTTATTGAGCCCCTGTCACCTCCTGGTCCTGATCACTGAGTGATCTCTTTTCTTGGTGCTGTGGCCCCCACACCAGGCTGAGGTCCTTGCAGGCTCCTGGCTCCCCTCTCCTCTCCGCCACTCTGTCTCCATCTCCATCTACTGGCTCCTTGCCTGCCCCCAGCCTCTAGCAGCAGCCAGGGCATCTGGATCTGCTTAACTCTGTAGCCCCAGTCTGCTCCCTAGCCCCATCCAGCTCTACAGGCGTGATACCAACAAAGATTTTAAGCCAAGCCCAGCCGAGTGGCCCAAAGAGCCAGTGCAAGGAGCCAGGCCCAGGCCCAGGCCAGAGGCTTGGCCACCAGAGCAGGACTGGGCCTCATGGTGGGATTACAGGATTCAGACTCATCATGGTGACCTCCACCCCAGGGTGATAAGGTTTGCGCCAGGTTAGTCAGAGGTGGTGATTAGCTATGGACAGGTGGGGTGAATGCCAGAATTCCCAGTAGCTGGATTGAAGGGTTAATGGGAGTGGCTGAGCCAGTGTCAGCCCTTGGTGCCAGGGTGGGCACCAAGGGCACTGGAGGGGGTGGTTGCTGGCACTGTTTGTTGCTTCTGGCTTTTGTTCTGGGCCCTAAGCCCAAGACTGTGATGGAGGGTGTGAGAGCGTGTGTGTGTGTGTGTGTGTGTGTGTGTGTGTGCATGTGCATGTGTGTGCGTGAGCGCACCCATGTGCACAACACTGAATATATGGTGGGAAAAGGGCCCTCAGGTCAGATCCCCTAATGATCTCTGCTACATTACTCCACTCAGTGCCTCATTGTTTCTCCTAGGAAGCCCCAGTTTTGGAGAGGGGGAGCCAGGCTTTAGCCTTCTATCTCAGGGGTGGAGGACCCCTGACCCTGCCTCTCTCCCTACAGATGAGCAGCAGCTGTTCAGGGCTGAGCAGGGTCCTAGTGGCCATAGCTATAGCCCTGGTTTCTGCTTCTTCTTCCTGCCCCCAGGGCTGGGGCCCCCCAGGTGAGAACAAACACTGTCTGACCCCCAGCTCTGACTTGGGATTTGCCACAATCACTGTGGCCCTTTCTCATGCCTAAATGGAGCCCTCCTTTCCCCTTAATCCCTGACAACATGGTCTTTCTCTACCCTGCCCTCTTATCTGTCTCCAAATTATAACCCAATGCTTTACCCAATAACCCTTCCCAGGGTTTAGTAGTCTGCTCCTTGCCCTGTCTGTCATTGTTACAAAGTGGAGGGAGGGGGGCAAAGAAAGAGCCTTATCTCAGCAGTGCCCTCTGCAGGGGTCCAGTATGGGCAGCCTGGCAGGCTGGTGATGCTGTGTTGCCCAGGAGTGAGCGCTGGGTAAGTGCCTCACCTACTTTTTGACACTGTCCATCTTCATGTACCCTCCTGCCCTTGGCCCTTCTGATTGTAATCCTCACCTCTCTAGCCTAACCCATAGACAATCCCTATTCAACAGAAAATTCAGCCAGTGTGCGTTGAGCATCTGTTAGTGCCTGGCCCATTGTAGGCTCTGAAATATAGCACAAGCCAGGCAACGTGTGCCTGCCCTCAGTGTTTACATCCTACTGGAGAAGATAAACAATAAACAAGTAAGAATCTTGCTAGATAGTAATGTTTGCAGGACAGAAAATTCTAAGGTTGTGATATTGAAGAGGATAGTTACATTTTATTCACAATCCAGGAAGGTCTCTCTGAGGTGACATTGCAGCTGATTTCTGAAGGTCAGCAAGGAGGCAGGAATGCACAGGTTTTGTAACAGTATAAATGCCCCTAGGTGGGAATGGACTAAGTATCCCCCCCTCCCTGCCCTTCCCTCCCTCCTCCTTCTTTGATGGGTCTTGCTATATAGTCCAGGGTGGCCTTGAGCCCAGGCTGGCCTTAAAGTCATAATCCTCCTGCCTCAGCCTCCTGAGTGCTGACATTACAAGTATGAATCCAGTACTTCTGGGAAACAGAAACTAGAGCAGTGTGGACAGAGTGCTCTGGGGGAGGGGGAGGTAGGAGCTGATGAAGGAAGAGAAGGGCTAGATTGCAAGGAGCTTTGTAAACCAGTGAAGATTTGGATATTTTTATCAAGTGTAGTTAGAAGCCTAGGGAAAACAGCGGCATGGTGTGACATACTTTAAATCTTTTCTCTGTCAGTCATTACCTCATGTCATCTCCAGGACCCCTGTGAACTGGTTTCGGGACAGGGAGTCAAGGCTGCTCCAGGGACCTGACTCTGGGCTGGGACATAAACTGGTCCTGGCCCGGGCAGACTCTACTGATGAGGGCACCTACATCTGCCGGACCCTGGATGATGAAGTTGAAGGCACAGTGACCCTAAAGCTGGGCTGTGAGTTAAGGATGGTGGCAGTGATGAGATATGGGGTTCCTGAGAGAGGCCCTCTGGGATAGGGAGGAGCTGAGGACTGCTCAGTCTCCAGCTGTGTTCTCGGCCACTAGATCCCCCATCCCGTCCAGTGGTCTCCTGCCAAGCATCTGATTATGAGAACATCTCCTGCACTTGGAGCCCCAGCCAAGTCAGTGGTTTACCCACCTGCTACCTCACCTCCTACAGGTGTGTGCATGATCTGGTGTGTGGCCTTTGCATTTGGGTGTACTGGCACAATGATGGTATGGGAGCAGGAGGGGAGGAGCTACCTGAGAGAGGGCAGAGGGTCCTCTTTTCTTTCTTGACCTCAGATGGCCCCCTCCCCACCAGGATGAAGATGTTGCCAGGAACTGGTCACCAGAGGTAGGACATGAGGGAAAGAAAGGCAGGGGCCTCCACCTCATGTCCCACAACAGGCATTTCCAAAGCCCAAGACTAAATTCTTCCTCCTAGGGTGAATCTATCTGCATGGAAGCCATGCCCACAGGACCCCTTAGGGAATCCACGCTGTGTTATCTACTGGGCAGAGTTCTGGAGCCAGTACCGGATTAATGTCACTGAAGTGAACCCACTGGGTGCCAGCACACGCCTGCTGGATGTGAGCTTTTGGGACATCTGTGAGTACTACTCCTAGTCTTTCCCCAGATCCCCACCTTGGAGACCCCAGACAGACTCAGCATTACCCCCACCTCAGCTCCCAAACGATTCCCTCCCTGTATAGACTCCATTTACAGGCTAAGAAGTCAAAGGGATGGGAGCCTAGAAGCTGTGGTCCTTTCCTCAAGGTCCTTCCTGGTTGCCTAGCCTGAGGGCCGACTCCTTGCTCTTAGGGACTGTGCTCTATCTAGGAAACTGAATCTTCCAGGCTGTCTGCCTAAGGGAAGCCCCTGCCAGCCACTCCTCTTGACCTGTGTGTGGGAAGGAGGAGCTAAACTTGGATGGAGTCGGGTATGGTGGCCCATGCTTTTAATCTGAGCTATTTGGGAGGCTAAGGCAGGAGGATCACAAGTTCTGTGGCATCACTGATGACACAAATTTTGGAAAATTTAACAGGACTGTCTCAGAATAAAATAAAAAGGACTGGGGAATTAGCTCAGTGGTTCTGGCGCCTGCCTTGAAAGGGCAAGGTCCCAAGTTCAATCCCCGGTACCAAAATAAATAAATAAAAAGGGCCGAGAGCTGGATGTGGTGGTGCATGACTGTAATCCCAGCACTAGAGAGGCTGAGGCAGGAAGATCGCCATGAGTTTGAGGCCAGCCTGAACTACATAGTGAGACCCTGTCTCAAAAAAAAAAAAAAAAAAAAGACTGGGCCTCTGGATATAGTTTAGTGGTAGAGCACTTGCTTAGCATGTGTGAGGCAGCTCTCAGTTCAATCCCAGTACCACAAAACAAAAAACAAAACAAAACACCTCAGCTGGAATTTGGGCCAATTTGTCTTCCAAAAAAGTCTTTTATTCATGGAACATTTCAAAAAACTACCCCCAATCTCAGCTTATTTTATAATAAGGATGACAGAGCCTAATAGACAACCAAGTTTAAGATTTCCCTACTCTACACAGAGGCACCTGACTAGGCTGCCTTTAAGTGCACACCTTGGGAAGTGGCGGGGAAGGGATGGGTAACAGTTGCCTACCCTGACTTTGTATCTGGCTGCCCTCAGTGCGTCCTGACCCACCCGAGGGGCTGCGGGTGGAGTCAGTACCTGGTTACCCACGACGCCTGCATGCTAGCTGGATGTACCCCACCTCTTGGCCCCAAAAGCCACACTTCACGCTCAAGTTCCGACTGCAGTACCGTCCAGCACAGCATCCGGCCTGGTCCACGGTATGCTCTGGAGTGTGTTACACCCTCAGGCTGTGTGGGTCCTGTCTCTGGTTGTGTGAGCCTGGGTATTCTGCATAGCTTCAAGGCACTGGCAGTCCCCTGAAGACCTGATCCTTCCTGTGGGCTAAGCTTGGGATTGGGTGCTGGGTTGCAGTGTTGCTGTCCCATGTTGCTATAACTACACTGTGATGTAAACCCATCTGTGAGAAGACAGAGTATCTCTTAAACAATAACTTTTCTAGGAGAAGGAGTGGCTTTCACTCAAAGATACATCCTCTTACACAGTCTCCTACTTAGCCAAGGATAGCAGTGAATTTCCCCCTCTAGAGACGTCAGAGATTGGCTGGCAGTTGGATTTGGGGAGCAGCAGCAGCAGCAGATCATAATCCACATTTAGTGCTGTCTCCCTTTCAGGCACTGTGCCACACATTTTATCTGCATTATCTTGTTCAGGTATATTCACCCCTATTTTACAAATGAAGAAACTGAGGCATAGAGGCCCAAAGTTCACCCAGTAAGTGGTTTAGCAAAGATTTGAACCCAGACTGATGCCACAGATCCTTCAAGCAATCACACTGCTATCTTAGTCACTTTCTTGTTAGTGAGACACAATACCTGGCTTAAAGAGGTTTATTTTGGCTCATAGTTTCAGAAGTTTCAGTCCATCGTTGGCTGGCTCCAAGGCAGAAATGGCATGGCAGAGGGTCAAAGCAGAGGAAAGCTGCTCATGTTATGGCAGCCAGGAAGCAGAGAGAGAGAAGGGAGCAACTGAAGAGGGAGAATATCCTTCCAGGCCAATCCTCCAGTGACCCACCTCTTCTGACCAGGCCTTACCTCATGATAGCAAGTTAGCCATAGTGCCCCCATGATCCAGCCACCTTCCACACACAGGAGGCTTCTGGGGAACACCCCAGATCTACCATATTCCAACTGGGTGTGGTGGTGCATGCCTATAATTCTAGCACTCAGGAGGCTCAGGCAGGAGGAACTCCATGAATTTGAGGCTAGCTTGAACTCCATAGTGAGACTGTGTCTAAAAACAAACAAACATAAAAACAAACAAACAAACCAAACTACCATCTTCTGAATACCAGGTATAGATCCTACCACATGAGCTACCCAATTGTAAGGCCAAGACTCTCCACAATGCTGAGGGGGATGGCACTGGGAAGAAGGGGAGCTTTCCAGACTGTGTGCATAGGCTTTGTGCTTGCACCTTGAGTAATGCATCAAGGAACCATCCTCTCACCCCCAGGTGGAGCCCATTGACTTGGAAGAGGTGATCACAGATGCTGTGGCTGGGCTGCCCCATGAGGTGCGGGTCAGTGCCAGGGATTTTCTGGATGCAGGGACCTGGAGCACCTGGAGCCCAGTGGTCTTGGGGACTCCGAGCACTGGTAAGAAAGAAGCCAAAGAAGAGAGCAGAGGTCCCACCCTAAAGCATCTAGTACCTAGATAAGTTTGCTGAAGGCAGCCAGGTGGCACATGCCTCACCTATGCAGGTGTCACCATTGCTCTCCCAGGCCTCAGCCTTGGTGGCCCACAGTTGTGCTCTGTCTTCAGCCCTGCCCACTCTACTTCTATAAGCCACATCCCTGAAGGGTGGCCCATAGCCTTTCAGGCTCCATCTCACCCCCGCATCCAGCTCAGGCCTTGGCCCCCACCCCTCTGTGAATGTACTCGTCTTAGGTCTCACCTTCCTCAGAGTCCCTAACAAATGAGATTCCTGATCCGGGCAAGATATACACACAGCTGGTGGACAGCATGGCTCCTCCGAGGCCTTCTTTGCAGCCAGACCCTCGGCCACTGAGTGAGTTTGGGCACGTGGCAAAGGCTGTAGAGGACGGACAGTCTCTGAGAGAAGGGGCCCTGTGTAGGTCAGGCTCACTCTCACAGTGGCATGTGGCCATCCCTCTCAGATCACAGGGACCCTCTGGAGCAGATGGTTGTGTTAGTGTCTTTGGGAGTCTTCTCTTTCCTGGGACTGGCAGCTGGGGCCCTCACACTGGGGTTCTGGTAAGTGACTGCCTTTGGTACCTCAAATCCCCACAGAAACCACATCCATACCACCCCTCATGATTTCGCACCGACTTTCCAGTAATCTATCTTATTCTGAACTCTCTTTCTCCATCCTAATCCCCTACATCCCACTTTCATGATTCTCACTGATTCCTGACCTTCACTAATAAAAATGCTCTTGGAGGGCTGGGGATTTAGCTCAGTGGTTCCGGCGCCTGCCTCACAAGTCAAGGTCCAGAGTTCAATCCCCAGTACCAAAAATAAAAAATGCTCTTGGAGCCAGGTGTGGTGATGCACACCTGTGAGCCTAGCACTCTGAGAGGCTGAGGCAGGAGAGTCACAAGTTTGAGCCCAGCCCAGGCAATTTAGTGACACAGACCATGTCTCAAAATTAAAAACTAAAAAAGGGGGGCTGGGAACATAGCTCAGTAAGAAGGCTCTGGGTTAAATCCCAGTACTGAATAAATACATAAAAATTAAAAGAATAAAAACCCATTTGGAGGAGACTGTGATGTCCTACATTGTTGGTGACAGTTGCCTTTTTAGGCTGAGGCTGAGGTGGAGCAGGAAGGATGGACCCCAAAAGCCTGGATTCCTGGCCTCAATGATTCCAGCTGACAAGCTTCCAGGTGAGTAAGCCTTCTAGGTTTAGATGTGGTGATGTATGCCATCATTTTGAGATTGTCTGGTTTAAAAGCCAGATGCTGTCATAATTTTATGGATGTTGGCAATCTGAGCTGGATTTCCTCATTATATATAGGCTAGGGGCCTGGACCTTTCATTTTTTAGTCCCTTGGCTCAGAATTGGGTCTTCTCCCTCTCTTTTGGTGTACTGGGGATTTTAAATAGGTTGTCTTCTTATTTTCAGGGCATTATGACTCAGAGCTGAGCCAGGTGTGGGTGGCACACACCTGTAGTCCCAATACTTACGAGGCTGAGGCAGGAGAATTACTTTGAGTTGGAGGCCAGCTTGGGCTATATAGTGAGTTCAAAGCCAGCCTGAATGCATTCATAGTGAGACCCTGTTATAAAAAAAAAAAGACTCAGAGCTAAGTATCTATTTGTTTTCTTGGGATGTCTTAGATCAGTGCTTGTTCCCCCTTTTGACATGGAACTCAGGTTCTTGTATGCTAGGCAAGTACTCTACCACTGAGCTAAATCCCCAGCTCTTTTTGAGATGTGCTCTTGCTAAATTGCCCATTCGAGTCTTGAACTTGTGATCCTCCTATCTTAGCCTCTCGAGTAGCTGGGATTACAGGTGTACACCACTGTGCCTGGCTCTAACTTTATACTTGATATGCCTGGGCCAAGAGTTACATCTGCTTCCTCATCTTGAAGATGTTGGGGCTCCCTCAAAGTTGGGCTTTTCTATCCCTTCTCAGAATGTTGGGCTCAGAACTGGGTCCCACCCTTCATTCTCAGGATGTGTGAGTCAAGACCTAATCCTGTCTCTCATGATTTGCCTCCTGTTCTTTTAGGTATTCCAGACCTGTAGAAGACCCACAAGAGCTTCAGCTCATTCCACCTTAACTCTGTCTTGCTGGTGTGGATGGATGGACAGAACCAGACAAGGCAGTAGATCCCTGTGGATGGGGGTCTCAGCTGGAAGTTTTATTTGGAGCCCATTTCTTTGAGACTCTGTATTCCAAACTTGCCAGCTGAAAAGTGTCTGGACCTCTGACTTCATCCCAGAACTGAAGTCTACCTGAAGGATGTCTGTAGATATGTGTGACCATGTGTATGTGAGGTGTGGGACATGTGCTCTTTGCATATATATATGTAGTTGCCTGGAGAATATGTGTGGGTCCTTGGCTCTTGGCCTTGCCCCTTGCAGGTGCTGTGAAGGTACAAAATAAAGAGAATGAGGAAGTTCTTGGAGATCATACTCAGAGATTATTGTCCAATAATGCTTTATTATTTTGGGTGTTGGCTGCTCCAGACTATTTCCCCTTGAAGCTCCAGATTCAGGTTGGGCAGACTCCGCTGGAGCCTTTTCCCTTGGCACTCAGACCACCAAGCCAAACTTCGATTCTGGGGATGAATGCAGACACTGCGTCGAGCCAGGTGAAGCCTGGGAAGGGAAAGGTCCAAAGCTATGCCCATACCTTGGAGGTGAGATTAAGGTCCAGGGGTCAGGGGCAAGGGCCAAATGAAACTTGGAGCCAGCATCAGAATTAGAAGTTGAGGCTGGGGTTGGGATCAACATCAGGGGTTGGGATTGAGGTCAGAGTTGGGTTTTGAGAGTGGGGTCAGAGCTCACACAAAAGCCTGGAGGTGACAGTCCCCAGCAGCCTCTTGCAGTTCCACTCAGATGACCTTCCTCAGTATCTTGTTTGGGAGTGGCTGTCTGTAGAGCTGAGTACAGCAGCTAGTGCTGGGCGGCAGTAGCAATGCTGTGGGAAAACAGGGTCATGTGTTCAGAAGGGTCTAGGCCCAGAACTGCTCCATCAGATAGCTGAAAGTTTGGACTTCCTGAGTCTTTTTCTCTTAATATGATTCATCCAGACCCCCAGCCTTTTGTTTTGTTTTTTGAGACAGTGTCTCATTATGCAGTTCAGGCTGGCCTTGAACTTACTATGTAGCCTAGGCTGGCCTCAGTCTTAAAGTGATCCTCCTGCCTTGGCCTCCCAAGTGCTACAATTACAGGCATGCGCCACCACACCTGGAAAGACCCCTAGCCTTTTTATGTTTTGTTTTAGTTGAGACAGCATCTCACTATGCAGTTCAGGCTGGCCTTGAACTCACTATGTAACCCAGGTTGGCCTCAAACTCATGGTGATCCCCCTGTCTTAGCTGGTCAAGTGCTAGGATTACAGGCATGCACCACTATGCCTGGCAAGACCTCCAGCCTTCTATACCCCAGGTACTTACCTGCTTCAGGGTCTAGGCTCAGGAATAACAGCAGCAGCATGAAGATGCTGGTGGGTGAGAAGAGTTTCTTTATGTTTCTCAGCTGAGATACTTGCTTCTCTCTGCTCCTTCTCCCTTACCTTTTATCTGTGTGCATTTTACCTGGGGCATCAGGTGAGTCAGAGACAGGTGGAGATGTACTGCTTATCTTGTGACATTCCTGAACTCAAATTCCTGGACTGTTGCCATGGACCCCTTCCTCTTCTAGGACTATTATTTGATAGGCTCTTGAGCCCTCATCAGAGAAGTAGGGGGAGAGGGTGTACATGATATGGGGGCTGATGGTACAGTGACTAACAACAGCTGGGGATCCACAATAACATCTAATAATAGACATTCAAATTCATATTCCCATGAATAACAGCCACACCCATGATTGTACCATTATAGACAAAAATTATACAGTTCTAGTTACATTCAAAGACCCATTCCCACACAGCTGTGTTTCCACAACCATCCAATCACATATTCATATTAGCATATTCATTCTCATACAGGAGTTGCAGATGGAGTAGAAACAGAGGACAGGCCAGGACTAACTTGCCTTCCTGCCCTGGCCTGCTTGTCTTATCAGGAGAAATAGTTGGGAATGGATCCCTCCTCTGGCTGAGGAGAGGTCTTGGCTGGGGCCAGCTACATTCCGAGAAACTGAAAGGTGACTTCATTGGTTTTGGGGGTCCTCTGGAGATGGTGAGGAAAGATGTGTGGGAGATGGTGGGGAAGATGAGACCAGAAAAGGTAAGACGCATGAAAGGAGATAGAAGTTCTTTGGTGCCAGATTGCTGATGTCATATGTGGAAGGCACAAAAAAATCTTACCTTCCTGTTTTTGCCTAGTTCTGTTCCAGGAATGGGAGTTTGTTAGCAGAGGCCTGGGGTTTCTAGACTCAATCCCTGCCTTGTTGAGACATCAGACTCAAGAGTAAATTATGTCTGTTTTGTTCTACTCAAATTCCAGCCTCCTTCCACTGTGGGTCTGGAAGAACACCCCCACCCCTGTTTCATAATACCCATTTATAGTCCCTACATCTTCTGGATCCCATTCTCCAGCTATAGCCCCAACTGTATCTCCTTCCTATCCTAATCTCATACCCAGGCTTTCCTCCCTTCTTTCCTGTGTCTAGATGCAACATTTGGACCCCTCCTAATCCAGTTGTTTCTGGAATGCTAGAAACTGCCTAGGATGGGACAGAGTCAGTTTCTGTGTCAGTGGCCCAGGCTCCTTGAAGAATGTACCATTCCTAGCTGGGGATTTTAACCTTCAAGTCCTGCTCTGTATTTGAAACATAAATGGAGTCATACATCAATAATCCAGGCCTTTTCTGGATGTGGTAGGGGTATCTTTAGTTTTCTGTTCTGGGGCCACTCACTCTATGGGGTAAGTTTTCTTTTTCTTTTTTTTTGGTACCGGGGATCAAACTCGGGACCTTGTGTTTGTGAGGCAGGCACCAGAACCACTGAGCTAAATCCCTGGCCCAAGTTTTCATTCATACCTTCTCTGGGTGGCCCTTTCTGCTACAGTGCTGCCTCAACATTTAGGAGGGGCTTCAGCTCCCACAGAATGGACTAGTCACCTTCCAGGCTGAAAAGCTGAGCCTCTCCTCCTCCTGTCCAGGTGAAGCCTGAGGGTCCCTCTCTACAATTTGTCCCAGGGATCTTCAAGTCTTCTGACAGTATCCTGGTGAGCTGTGGGCCCAGGGCTGGATAGACATTATGAGGAAATGGTTAAAGAGCCTGGGGACTTTCTTGAAAGTGAACACAGAGGTCACTCATCCAGAATTTTTGGTAGCAGAGGGCTTAGGATGCCTCTCCCACTCCCAATCTGGACATGTTCTCCAGAGCTTGGGTGTGGCTACTGAGAATATTCCAAGGAGATCTCTTGGATCCATCATCTTCTCACAGACCTTGTTCATCAGCTGGTTGCTTGCACATATTTTGTGGTCTTTCCTGGACTTCTCAGTCCAGAGACCTTTGGAAGGCAGAAAACAAATCTCTCCCCTTTAGCTTCTCCAAAAATAAGGCCAAGTCCTCTCCAGCCACAATCTGCTGTGGCAGGAGCAGCCCCAGGCTGAAAGTCAGCATTGGCTCCAGCTAAAAACTGGGCTGTCTCTGTAACTTAATTCCCTGAGCCAGCCTCTAACTGAAAGCAGGCACACATAGCAGTCCCTGACTCTTGTTGTTTTAGGAGTTAGTGGGTCCCAGGCTGATTAGCTGACATGACAAAAAGGGCTGGCAGGGCGAAGCACTTATAGAGAAGAGGCAAAAACTTCAAGGTTGGCTGATGGTAAGTATCTCTAAAATTTGGATCAGATTGGAGGAAGCAGCTTGGGATATTAAACTGTAGGAAAGGCCCCACCCCACGTTGCTCTTCAGAGACAGGCTACAATAGGCAGGTTCTAGGAATCTTCTCCTCTTCCCAATAATAGTCTACACCCTACAGCCCTGGCTTAAAATGTCTGATTCACTCCGAGGAAGGGAAGAGTCTTCAGATACCTGGCAAAGTCTTGGCTAGGAGGAAGGTGGTGAAGGACAGCCAGGGTTGTAGAGCATATCAGTGTGGGGATAAAGTATGGAAGGAGATTAGACCAGGATTATTTGGATGTTCCCGTGTAGGTTACTAACAATGACCGGAGTTTTTGGAGGACAGAGGGAAAGAAGGCAGTCACTGACAGCAACAGGAAGCCGGACATTGATGAGGGGCCCTTAGAAATGACAGGAGCCTTGACCTGGAAGGGCACCCTACCCGGCAGAGGCCCTTTGAATAAGGAAGCAGCAGGTGTGAAAAAGAGGAGCTCCTAAGTCGAACGGCGGCAGGGGCGGCAGTCAGGAAGGCAGTACCGTGAGCTTGGCTTTAAATTTTTAATGCACCGGCTGGCTGGACAGCAGTAGCGGGAGTGCGGCAGAGAAGGCCACGACCTGAGCGCTGGGGAGCAGGGCCCAGGCCGCTCGATAGACAGCTCATCAGGCCTCGCAGAGGCTCCAGCTTCTGCTCCCGGGGGTGCGCCGAGCTGTAGGGCGACCCGGCACTGGCATGAGGCAGGGAGGGGGCGCCCAGATTCCCCCGATCCGTCCTGCAAAACCGAGCCTCCTCCATGCCCCGATCTGGCCCGCGGGGTCGCATCCTCCTCACCTCCTCTCCCTGCGCCACATTCGCAGCCAGGGGAAAAAGTAGAAACAGCCCCAGTAGATCCTGCTAGAGAGAAGGCAGGGCCGGCAGGGCCGGCGGGCGGAGAGGGGCTGACCCCACAGACCCCGCCCCTCGCACGCCTCGCCCCAGTCCCCGCCCTGCCAAGGCGGTTCCATTCGTACTCCACGCCCCTTAGGGCCCCTCCCCTCCGCCCCGGAGGACGCAGGCCCTCCCCCACCCTGAGCTTCCCTATTCCTCCTCCGCGGAACCCCGCCTCCACTCACTCCTCCTCCGCCTCCACCGCCACCTCGTAGTTTCTCAATCCCGGCATGTCCTGGGCTCCGATTGTCTCCTGGGGAGCGGCATGGTTGGACCAAGTATTCCCTAGCCCCAGGTCCCCTTCTCCGTCATTCCCAGGACGAATCTAGTTATCAGGTAATCGGAGGCAGTTGCCCCTCGGGAAGCCAAATGCCACTGGGGACAGGGTAGGATTGGAGATTTGGGAAGCACTAGAAGTCAAGGCGTTTGGAGGACGGTTATTTCAGGGGTCGGGGACGTGTAAGAGGTCAGGGCAAGAGGTTTGGCAGTCATGGAGCTAGAAGATTTGGGGCCCTGGGTGAAGGTTTTCAGGGGCTGGGGTCACCTGAAGGGGGGCTGAGGGGTCGGCGCAGCCTAAACTCCCGCCCTCTCTGGCTCCTCCCCGGAAACGGCCCGTTACCATTAGGTCCTAGGGACGCCTCTGCACACTAGGGTGGGGCTTGTTACCCGGAAGGGGCGGAGTCAGCATCTCTTCCAGAAGGCGAGGTTGATACCTCACAATACCTCATTCTAAAAGGTGGAGCCAGTGCCTTTTACTAAAGGGGCGGAGTCAGGGTTTATTAAATCCGGAGCGCAGGGGACCCTCTTATAGGGTTGGATCAGATTTTGGAGATACGCCCTAGGAGGGTGAGGCCTCGGCGCCAGGCTGCAGTAAAAGCGCTCTAGGACTGTCCAGTACTGTTTTTCCAGCTCCCTCCCCATCCCTCCTTTTTTTGCCAGCTCAGAGGGAATAAAACCCTTACCCCCTTCCCAAGAACCCAGGTCAGAGCAGGCTAGGCTATGGAAATACTTGTTAGCTAAGTGGCCTTGGCCAAGTCACTTAATAGTCAGAATGTCACTGCCTTTTCTTTCTTGAGCTGAAGCCAGTCATTCTTTTACAGTCATTCAGTCAGCAACTACTGGGTGTCTACTGTGTGCCAGGTACTGTGCTGGACACGGAGATATAATAGTAAGACAGGCAGTCTGCACTGTCAAAGAGCTTATGAGGTGGGGTAGAGAAAGGATCGAAAGAGGACAATCAGATTGTTTCAATAAACAGCAGGCTGGCCTGGGTAGGGGTAAAGGGTGCAGCACCAGAGCCAATAAAGGGCAGTTAACCCAATGTACAGGGCTGGAAATAGCTTCCTAGCCAAGGTCCAATACTTGGACAGGGCTAGTCTCGGGGGGTTGTGGCTGGACTGACTGTATGGGACAGAGTGGCGAGAAATGAGTGAGATGAAGGTTTTCTCAGGCTTAAATAGGAAAAATGGATATTCTCTCCTCCCCACATTGGACCCTCTTTCTTCTTTTCATCTCTGTCTTCTTTAGCTTGAACCATATACAATCAGCAGACAGATCCATGGATGTCAAGTGGCTTTATTAGAAGTGTTACAATCTGGATATAGAGAGGCTGGGCTCTTGGCACACCTACCCTCTCACTTGTACTCACACTCATACAGTTACATTGGCATTCCAGGCCCTGTCCTGGATGAGTCAGCTCTGGTGCAGAAGCTGGAGGCCTAGTTCCCCCTCTGATCTTTGGTTCCCCCAGCCAGGGTGATTCTGGTCCATTCTCTCAGACACAGGGCTTCCTCTGGTGCTGTCTGGGGCTAACTGCTGTGGCACTTTCCCTGAGGGAAGAAGGAGGGGCATAGTCATGGGCTGGAACCTTGGAGGATGGAGGCAGGGCTGAGGAAGGTCAGGCTTGCCTTGACTGGGCACTTTTTTGGTGTATGGATGATTTGGTGCACTCAGGCCTATCTGAGGGTGCACTGAACTTGTGCTCTGTCAGTGTGGTGAACCTGGAGGTAGGTAAAATGGAACCCCAGAACCCAGCTTCCTGGAAGGCTCTAGTGTGAGGGGGAGAAGCTGGGGACCACATCTGGGAACTTGTTTTAGAATCTTCCTTGCAGGAGGAACTGGGAAAGAGGCAAAGTAATATGGTGGCGGTGTGGAGGCTGGGATGCTGGAGGAAGGGATTTGGAAAGGAGGAGCCTGAACAGTCTCCACACTCACTCCTTCTCACAGGACAAAGTACCCCCCAGTCATCCTTGAGGAGGTTGAAAAGAAGAAAGCAGAAGATACCACACCCTTTCTCCATAAGTAAGTATTGGTTTACTAAAAAGCAGAGTCCTCAGAGTATTTGGCCTCACTCAGAGCTGAGGGGTGGGTATTAGAATCAGGGCCTAAAGGAACCCCAAGGTAGAAGGCCACATCCCTGATCAGAATTGAGGATGTCTTTGTCCAGTGCCATAGCTTTAGTATTGCTCTCTCTTCTACTCATATGCACTGTCCTCTTCCTCTGGGAAGCCAGGCTAGAGGAGTCGGGTTCCTGTGGAGACCAGAGCAGCCAGGAGCTCCCCCTCCAGGCACTGACACATGCAAGGACACCAAGGCACAGACACAGCTAAATCACACAGGTTGCTCACATGGAACAAAGATCCCCACACCACTCAAGCAAACAGACTGCATAGGAATACACACAATGTACAGGTGTACCCACATCCTGCAGGGACATACAGTCACCAAACAGCACAGCCATTTAGCACACTCATGGTCTCTGGTTCATTTTCATACTTGGATGTTGACATGAACTCAATTTCCTGCCCAAGATGTATGTTCTGATCCCCACTATGCCTCTCCCCTTACTATTTAAACCCTTGTCTCATTTTTATCCCCTGTACTGATGTGAGAACATCAATACACTAAGAAGAGGAATGGTGCCATGCTGGAGGTCAAGGAAGATGCACCGAGGACACTTGACAAGAATCTCTGGAGCAGCAAGTGGACGTGTGTGGGTGTGGATGTGCAGGAGTCCTGCTTATGTGGTCTGTATGAGACTACTGTATGTGAAGTTGGATCTGGGAGAGAACAGGAGAATGATCTGAGGGTGAGAGGCTCTAGGATATATATGTAAACCTGTGGGAGGCTGTGATTATTTCCTGTTTACAGCCCCCTAGACTTTTTCATTTTCCAGCAATTCTCTCCCTTCCAGTGTATAATGAAGAATTTTACGGTACTTTTCCCTTCTCTCTGGTGTATAATAAAGTATTTGACTGGCATTTGTCCCTGGTTCTTGAGAAGACTAAACCTTTGAAATTTCCCAAGTAACAGACATGATCTCTGACTTATGATGGTTTGGGTTAGGATTTTTTGACTTTACAATGATACAGTGGTGTGATATGCACTCACTATCAAGCATACTTCAAATTTTGATCTTTTTCCAGTCCTGTGATATGCAGTACAATACTTTTTTGTTGTTGTTTTTGGAGACAGGGACTCACTGTGTAGCCCAGACTGGCTTTGAACTCACATATCTTCCTTCCTCAGCCTCCTGAGTGCTGGGATTACAGGTGTATGTCACTACATCCAGCTTCATGAACTATTTGAATCACACCTGAGTTTATGCTGAAAGGTAGATGACTTAAGATGGGGGCTGGTCACCATAAAGACCAACTATATGATCAGAGGGTTGGGACTTTGAGTCAGCCTGAACAGCAGGGAGAAAAGAACGGCTGGACATTGAGTTCCAATACGTGGTCAACAATTCAATTATGCCTATGTAATGATATTTCTTTCTTTTCTTTTTTTGGTACCAGGGATCAAACTCAGGGCCTTGCACTTGCGAGGCAGGTGGTGGCACCACTGAACTAAATCCCTGGCCCCTGTAATGATATTTCAATAAGAACTGAACACCAAAGTTTATAGAACTTCCTGTCGGGATACACACTGATGTGCCAGGAAGGTGATGCATACCCTACGTCTCCTCAGAGAGTGCAGAAACTACATTTCTCCCTGACTCCTTCGTCTCATCATTTGGATATTCCTGATTTAGAACCTAGGACTTCATATGTGCTAGGCAGGTGCTCTACCACTGAGCTACAGACCCAGCCCTTTATATTTTGAGATATTATCTCAATAAGTTGCTCAGACTGTAATCAAACTTGGGATCCTCCTGCCTCAGCCTCCTGAGCAGCTGGGATTAAAAGCATGTGCCACCGTGCCCAGGTAAACAGCACTTTCTTAAATTTTGTGAGGCATTCTAGTAAATTATCTGACTTGAGAAGGCTTATGGGAACCTTCCAGACTTTGTAGCCAGTTGATCAGGAATGTAGGTGGCTTGGGGACCCTACTTGTAGTTGGCATCTAGAGTAGGGCAGTTTTGTTGGGAGGCTTTACCCCTAAACCTGTGAGGTTCGATAACTGGGTGGTTAGTGTCAGAACTGAATGCAGTACAGGAGCAGGTTGCAGTGTACCATCTCACTGGCTGCATGCCCCATTGTCTCCCTCTGTGGAAGACCATTTTTTCCTTTTTACAACTTTTCTCAGTAGTCACCCTACACCCATTTCTCACTCTGACTTCAGATCTGACAATGTCAGTGACCATCAGTTTGGACAAGGGGTGTGTGTGTGTTGTAGTGTTACCTTTTGGAGAAGTTTGCAATGTTATAACCTTGGAGTTATTTGAACTATTAATCCCAAGCCTGGGAGTCAGGGTTTGTTTTAGGATTAGAGGTCAGAGTAATTAGAGGTCTTTCCCAAATTTCTCCTTACCCCTACCTCTTCTCTGTAGTCTTAAGACACCTGGTGGTAGGATGAATGGGAAAGATGGGACAGAGCCAGTTCCACAGGTTCCTTGAGCACAATCACAGGAGCAGGGCAAGGCTGGAGAAAATCTTTTCTTAGATTGTGCACATCTCCCCAGGCCCATCACAGTGCCTAAACGTTCATCACCTGAGACCCACTCCTCCCTTGCACAAACATAGCTAAAGGAAGGTTCTTTGGAAGCAGATCCAGCTTCCTTGTCTCATATTTCTGGACACTAGAAAAAAATCCTTTAGCCCAGGCAACTGTCCTCTCCTCTGTTCTCTTATATCCCGTATCTGTCAGAGGGATATCTATAGGGGAATCTGCCCTAGAACGCCCCCTTCTACCATACCCTTCCTATCCTGGATTGAGAGGGATTTCTGAGCAGTGCAGTGAGAGGGGCTGGTGAGCTTACAGAGAGGGAAGAAAAGTAGGGATGAGAGAGAACTGAAGCTGGTTCACTACACATTGGTTACCAGTTTGACCAGTGATATGGAACATACTTATATGCAACATGAAGTGGGTATATGACTTATAGATAGGCAGCAGGGGACAACAGAAGCCTAGGTTCATTGTGAACCAGGCAGGCCTCTACAGCTCAGGAAAGCTACCCAGGGCAGATGAAGTCTCTCAGCCACCCATGCTCCACTTGCACTGCAGCTGAAGGAGCCTGGAAACAGCTCATGATGGATTTTATATCCTGGGATAATGTGATTTACTAGGCTACAGCACGGAAGGGTAGTTTTTGAAGGGGACTAGAAAAGAACCTGATCTGTTGCAGCTCCCTCTTCAGGTGTTGCATTTCCAGAACATTCTCTTGAGAACTACAAGTGAGGAATTTTGTTGCAGAGAGAGGGACTGGATCTATCCAAGGCCACTTGAACTATCCTGCAAGACCCGAGAGACAGACTAGGGGAGGAAACCTCTCAGGGCAGACTATTGTGATATGCTATTCTGTTTCCCATTCCTAGCCCTAGGTTATATGATGTGGCAAATTTAAATGTAGGCCTGTGTTTTTCTGCTCCATCCATTCATCCATCCATCCATCCATCCATCCATGAGTCTATGTTTACCCATCTTTGTCTCTTCATCAGCCCATTCTTTCCTCTTTCATCTTTCTTTTCTTCTATCTTTATATCTTTATCTCCATTTATCATCTCTATATTCAACCATTATCTATCTATTAATATATCCATTTATCAATTTATTGTTATAGTCATTAATGTTTGTTGATACTTATGGACCTTGCTAAACTTTTAAAATTCGTTGTCTCATGACAACTCTCAGAAGGTTGCCATTGGCTGTGTTTATTCATGCAGGCCACTTGTCCATACTCCTTTTTATGTTTCTTTAGGGAACTCCTCTCCCAGTTCATGTGGTCTTGGTGGGGCTGTTAACCACAGTCCTCTGAATATCTTGTTCCCTGGACACTGTGATAGATTGAAGAACTGAGTATGAGAAGCATAGTTAACCAAAGCTTTTCACATTTGAAGTTTGGATGCCAGAAGAAGGAGGCCTCTGTTTAAATCACTATAGCTGGTTGTGGTGGTATAGGCCTGAAATCCTAGCATTCTGGGAGGCTGAGGCAATAGGATCACAAATTCAAGTCTAGCCTTGGGGACTTAGTGACCATGTCTCAAAATAAAAAATAAAAGAGGTGAGGACATAGCTCAGTATGAAGGCCCTGGCTTTAATCTCCAGTATTCAAAAAAAAATTTGCAATAGAAAATTTGAGTTGAGGCTTCCAGTGGCCGTATAGTAGCACCTTGGCTTATGAACTTAATTCATTCACAGTTCTGGTTGTGAACAAATCGGTCAAGAACTGAATCAAATTTCCTTATAAGATTCAATGTAGGGCTGGGGATTTAGCTCAGTGGTTCCGGCACCTGCCTCGCAAGCGCAAGGTCCCGAGTTCGATCCCCGGTACCAAAAAAAAAAAAAAAAAGATTCAATGTAAATAAGGTTAATCCATTCTGGGCCATATATATTTATTTTTAACCACAAAAATATGAACCCAAAGATAGTACAGTACAGTATGAAGAGAGAACACTAACCTTGTTTGAGGCGACTTCTGGCATGGGGAAGAGGAAGGTCTTGGAGGGAGAGTCCCCCTCCATAAGAACATGGGAGAGATCTCCTTCAAGGGTTTCCTCTCTTCTTTGTCTTTTAAAAGCTGAAGGGTCAATTTTGATGAAAAAATCTGTCTAATTTCACTAGTTTTTTCCTGCTCTGAATAACCCTCTGGAAATGAGAGACCATATTACCATTCATCATGTTCAACACTCTGTTACAGTTATTTTGGGGTAGTGCTTTTCAAAGAAATCCTGGCACTCATTCTATTTTTCCGTAGTGGGTTTTATCACATCACTGCTAACCTCCTCCCTGTCTTCCTCTTCCTTGGTGGGATGCTTCTCAACAAATGCCTTCTGCTGCTCACTCTGGAGTTTAGCAAGCTCTGTCATCAGCTCCTTCTGGACCTCAACAAGCTCCTCTGTGTCTGCCCCATCAGCATCCAGCCCATGGACACAGTCTCCACTCCCTGTGTATCAGACCCTTCAAAGTCACTTTCAGTGACACATTCTGGCCACAGTTTCCTCCAGGCTGAGTTTAAGGTCCAGTATGTGACACCTTCACAGGCTTTGTCAATGAGGTCAGTGCAGTGGAGGACACTGAAATCTTTCTTCCAGAACTCTTCAGTGACATTAAAACACCTGGTGAAGGCTGCCTTTGTGTACAGCTTCTTGAAGTTGCAGATCACTTTCTGTTCCATGGGCTGCAGAAGAGGTGTCGTGATAGTCACCATCCATATCATCCACCAAGGCTGGAGGGTGTGCCAGTGCATTGTCCAACAGAAGAAGGTACATTTCAGGTGTTTGGTTGTCAGAAAGATATTTCTGTCTTTTTTTTTCGGTACCAGGGATTGAAGTCAGGACCTTGGGCTTGGGAGGCAGGTGCAGTGTCACTGAGCTAAATCCTTGCCCTCCCCCCAGTCGAAAGATATTTTTCTTTTTTTTTTTGGTACCAGGGATTGAACTCAGGTCCTTGTGCTTGCACAGCAGGCGGCGAAACCACTGAGCTAAATCCCCAGCCCCTGAAAGGTATTTCTTAATGGTGATGCAAACACCATGTGCTGCCATTCCATGAACTATTGCCTTATGACCCAAGCTTTCACATTGGGCCCCCACGTGATAGGCAGTCTGACCTTGTTCACATTCTGTTCCTTGAATGCATCAGGGGTCTGGGAATGACACACCAGTAGTGGCTTAATCTTCAGATTGGCACTTCAATTTGCACACAGCAAAAGGGTCCATCTGTCTTTTATGGGAGTGCCTTTTCCTTCTGTGTGATATAGGTTCTGTTCAGTATCTTCTTCCAAAAGAGCCCTGTTTCATTGCAGCTGAATACTTGTTGAGCAACTTATCCTTTTGCATTCATGAATTCCATAAATTCTTTCTTGTAGAGTTCTGAAGCAGCC